CTTCCAGACCCTTCTCTGGCCCCAGACAGCTATCGCCCTGAAGGTCAGCAGGGGCTTCTGGCCAGTGCAGGTGAATCCTGGGGCCAGAATTCTCAATGACTATGTGAGCCCATCCCTGGGGCCTGGAGCCCAGAAACAAACCCCCCTCACCCCAAAATCTGGCCTGAACCTCTTCTGATTGCTGGGCTGGGTCTTATTCATGCACTCATGCATCCATGCACTGAAAGAATATTTGCTGTGCATCTAATAGTGCCAGGCACTATTCTGGGCTCCTGGGAGACAGCAATGAACAAAGACCCCTGGAGTTGACGCTCTTGCACTGGAGACAGAAAACAATACATAGTCAATAAGTGACTTTCATGGTCTATAGAAAGAAGAAAGAGTTGAGCAGGTCAGGGGTAATGGGAACGTCGAGATGGAGGGTATGCAAGTTTAAACAGAGCAGTCAAGGTGGGCCTTACTGAGGAAGTGATAGTGGAGCCATGACTGGAAGGAGGTGAGGGAGTGAGCCTAGCAGATGTGCTGGGGACAGCATTCCAGGGCCCAGCAACCTGTGTACAAGCCCTAAGATGGGAGCCACCGGCAGGTGTGACCTTGGTCAGCAAAGAGACCAGCAAAGACGGGCAGAGCAAGCGGGGGGGGAGGGGAGGCCAGAGAGGCAACTGGGGATGGAGTGTGCCCTACAGATGGCACTGAGATTACCCCTCCCCAGAGAGAGGAAGCCAGCACTTTTTCCACCGGCCTTATCTGATGCTGTGGTTGGGGAGCCAGCGAGGGCAGGCGTGAGGGCTGCATAGCTCGGCACATCCGAGGAACCTCAGCGGGGCCTCAGAGCAGCTGACATCCGCCTGGCCTGCGGCTTCTTCCTGTGGCTTCTGCAACTCAGGTTGCCCTGATGGCTGCTATTTTTGCTCCTGTTTGGGGTTCTGTGGTGGGCTCCTTGTGCGCATTGTTGAGTCTGCTCTGCTCAGAGCAAATGTGAGGGGTTAAACATTCCAAGCGTCTGGAAACACTACTATCCAGCAAGTGGGAAAGAGGAGGATGTTTGTTATACATGTCATCTCGTCAATCCTCGTGACCCTCCAAGCTCAGAGAGGCTAGGTGACTTGTCCAAGGTCACGCAGCCAAATCAAACCACAGTTTGAGGATCCTACTCCAGTCTGTCTAGGTCTGAAGGTCCTTAATTTGCAGGGAGGTCTTTGCATTTACTGCCTAAATTAATACTCCTATGCTGTCTGGCCTTGCAGCATGTGTGAGAATAAAGGTGCATTGTCGTGGGTGATGTCCTCCCAGAGCATCACAGCACTGACGGGGAGGACAATGACTGAAGTGGGCACAGGGAAGGGGACCCTGGCTCAGATAGTTGCGGGTAGACAGCAGGGGAAATTGGAGAATGCTTCTGGAAAGCCATGGACGTCGTGACCACACCTGCAAGAATAAACAGGAGTCCGAGGGGTAAAAGAAACATTCTGGACAAAGGGGTCTGAAAGCAAAATTAAGAGGCACAATAGCTTCGTCAGTAAGGAAGGGGATTTAGGAGGGAGAAGGACAGTGATTCTGCAGGAGGCAGAAGCTAGCTTGTGGACTGCAAAAAGTGAGGTCAGACAGGTGCCCAGCTCCCCCAGGTGGGTATATTAAAGATATCAGAACAGATCCAGCTGATTATAAAAGACCCCCAACCACAGGCTTTAAGCAGGGAGGGATGTGCGCATCACACGGTTCTCAGAGATCCCACTGGCTGCTGTGAGCAGAACAGACTAAGGGGGAAGGGTAGAGGCAGGGAGGCCTGGGAGGAGGCTCCAGCAGTCACCCCGGTGACAGGTAATAGTGAAGCAGGGAGACAACATTGCACCCTGAAGGTATAGCCAGCAGCACGTGCAGGCAGATTCGATGCAGGGAGTAAGGCAGACAGAGGGGTCAAAGATGATCCCACATTTGTGGCCTGAGCCGAGGGGTGGACAGTCATATATACAAAGGGGGCACAAAGTAGAAGGGGAATTTTGAAGGGGGGGGGGTGTGAATCAGGAAAAGGGCCATTGAGAGTAACTGTCTCCTTCCAGATGAGCCCCTGGGATGAGGACATGCAAATCAAAGCTGCCTTTCTACGCCAATCCCCCCACGACTAGGGGGCAGCTGCTCCCATGGCCTCCATTCTCTTCACAGCAAGGAAGACCCAGGGAGGTTAAGTGAGCTGCCTCGAGCCTCACAACTAGAAGTCAAGAGAGCAAAGGCTGAAAATCCAGGTCCACCCAATTCCTACTCCAGGCTCAGCTCAACACCCAACAGCAGGAGGTTCCCAAGGCCCTCCCTGGAAAATGGCTCCCCAGGCCCAGGAGAAGCTGCAGAATTCACTCCCCATCTCCCCATCTATGATGTTTCAGGCCTCACTTTGCAACTGTCCAGATGTGTGAACATCTGCCAGGCCCCCTGGCTAGACAGAGATGGCAGCTCCTGGGCAGCCCTGGGCCTCCCAGTGGGTGGCACAGAGGCTGCCCCAGTAGGCCCCCAGCTGCCTCCATGGGAAACCTCGCCTCCATGCCCCTGCTCCCAATTTCATTAATTACCGGTTTGTTCATGCACAATGCAGCAGGGGAGAGTCATCAGGGATGCCGCCGGCTGAGGAAAGGAAATTAATTTCAAACATGAAGCTCATCCTGCTCTGGAGGCTCCCACACGATTTCCAATACAGTGGAAGACCAGGGGTTGAGGCCATCAGCCTGGATTCTTCTTCTGAGGGAATCAGAGGTCCAAAGGGGATGAAGAACTGGCCCAAAATCACACAGCAATTACTAATGGCAGGAAAAGCCCTGCAACTCAGGCCTCCCACTTCTGCACACCTTCATTCTTCCCATAAACATTCAGCAGGTGCCCGCTGTGTTTGGGCCCCTGCGTGCCAGCAGACACCCTGGTTTTAGGCAAAGGCTCTCCAGGCCCTCTTCCCTCCCCAGGAGAACATGTTATTTACTGAGCACCAATAATGTGCTTTATATATTTTATCCCACTTAGTCCTCCTAACAATCTGTCATTTTATAGGCAAGGAAACTGACTCAGAGAGGTTGCTGTGCTGAGGTCACACAGCAAGCAAGGAACAGAGCCATGACTTCAAACAAGGTCTTAAACCTGGGTCAGCTTCTGTTCTCCAGGCAGGGAGCATGTGTGGGGGTGCAATTCTCAGCCACTCTCTCCCTTCCAAGTCTCCCTTCCTTCCAGTACCTTCCTTCCCAGCCAGGGGCTCTCAGCAAACAGGTAGTCAGGTAGCAATCTGAACGCTGGCTTACTGGCTGGCTGTTTTCCCAGGGCGCCGCCAACACAGTGCTGATGAGTGATATTCAGTAAGTTGTTCAGGAATTGTTAACACTAAAAGGATCGGTTGGTTCTGTTTCAAAATGGCCAGTCTCTGCCATAAACTCCTCTCCCAGTCAAGAACCCACGGAAGTGACCAGAAACACAAAGAATTCCTATCAGCCGGGGCTGTGAAACAGACGTGGCCCTCCCTTCAAGCTCCCCAGATTCCAGAGCCTCTGACTCTAAGCACAAGAAGCTATTTCCCTGGATCATACACACAGATGCACACAAACACATGCCCCTGTGAGCCACGCCCTCCTCCTGAGCTGAGCCGACATCCTAGGTTATTAGCTCATTCATTCATGCCTCATTAATGAGGTCCTTCCACCTACCAGGCAGTGTTATGCAGTGTGTGAACACGTGCATGTGTGCATATACACAGGAACACACGTAAATGCTTATACATACACACCATCATGACAACACAAGTAGGCATCAGTGTCCCCATTTTATGGATGAAGAGACTGAGACTTGGAAAGCTCAAGGAACTTGCCCTATGTCACAGATTGTATTTGTGGCCGAGCTGAGATTTGTAAGCAGTGCCTAACCCAGACCCCAGTTAGCTACGTTCTGGGGCCAGCTGGCTCCTCAGCCTTCCCTTGCAGACCTGGGCCCGTTGCCTCCTGCAGGCTTTCAGACCCACAGTGGAGAAGGTGGAAACCATCCCAGGAGGCCCAGAAGCTGGTGTTTCCTGGTCTCTCCCGGTTCACCCAGGATGTTCCAAATGACGGAAAGCGGACCTGAGCGGGAGGCTTCTGTTGCTGGGACGCACATGCTTGAAGCCAGATTTCACCAATGGCTGTGATAAATGAGAGCTCCAGAAGAGGTCGGGCCTCCTGGTCTGCTGGGTGCAGCGCCATCAACAGCAACAAGCCCCGACCCCAACCCAGCCAACTCCCATCACCAAGCTAGCCTCCCAGGCACAGCTGGGATGGCCATTCACGTCAGGTTTCTGCATTTGAAATCTCTGCCACCTATTAAGGGCATGTGTGTCCCCTTAAATCTGACTAGGTCCTTTCTCATTTGTTGCTGTCCTTTCTTCTACGAAAGTATGGTGCGTGGAGATCCCATCTGGTTATTTTTCAATGTCCTTACCTAACAAAAGGAAAAGGTGGCATTCACCAAATTTGGGGAGGAATTTTTATTGATTCCCCAAACTCCAAAATCCAGTGGAAGAGGCAGCTCGGGTATTCCTGGTGACGTCCTCAGCTGCTTCTCACCCCTCTTGCCTTCTTGGAAGGGCCCTGTCACTCTTTAGCCCAGGTGTTTTCTGGGTTCCTCCCAAACCATAGGCCATCCCCATCACTGCTCCCATTGTTTCCAGTCTGAATCAGCCAGACCCCCAACCCACACCTGGCCAGGCCTACTGTAGGGTATGCTGAATGAATGAATGTATGCTCCCAAGCAGCCTGGGCTCCAAGGCCACAGCCTGACCCTGCTCTCCAGAGGCCAGCCCCAACCGCCTCCAGAATTCCTCTCCAAGAAGGAGCTGCCAACTGCAGGCCTCCTGGCCCCTCTAAAGCATCTTCATTCCAAAATGTGACAAGCACCAGTCCAGGTCCCTGCCTGCCCCCATCCAGACATCACCTGTCTTCAGCCCAGAGGGACGGCCTGACCGCCTCCACTTCACGTGGCGGCGGGCACCCGCTGCTTACCTTCTGCGGAACACACCTGCAATGCACCAGCGTCTTGCAAGGAGAAGGAGCCCGAGTCTCATTCCACAGAAGCCCAGGCAGCGAGAGAACGCGCCCGCGACAGCCTCTGTGCGAGTCTGCTGCATAATCAGCAGAGAAAGAGGAAAAAATGCCAGAAATAGCAAGCTTTATCAGCCCTCCCGACAACTCTTGGTCCTCTATTGGCTGGAGGCCCAGCACCCCCACCCCCCCATCCCGTTCGTATAAGGTGAAATGGAAAAACCTGTTATTTAACCTCTTTTATCAAAATCCATCTCCTATTCCAATTTGGGCCTGTGTGTTCGGAGCTCCTGGTGGCGGTCTCCACGCCAGGTCTCGGGGAGCAGAAGGGGAGGCAGCCCCTAAATACAGCGCAGCTCCACGTCACTTGTGGCTTAAGAGCCTTCCCCACACACACACTGCCTTGGGAGGGGTGTTGCACTGGAAGAGCCTTCGGAAGGCAAACTGGCAGCACCTGTCAACGTGTGAAACTTGCATGCCCTTTCATTCAGCAATTAGACTTCTGAGCATCCATCCTGCAGAAATACCTGTAGTCAGTGCATGGATGCATGCCCAAGGATGTTGCTTGTTACAGAGAGAATTAGAGACAGCTAAATGTTGAAAGCCAGGGTCTGGTTGAATACATTGAAATACATCCGATGGAACAAGGAAGGCGTGTAGGTACTGACTTGGAACTGGCTGAGAGAAAAAGTCAAGGACATGGTTCCATTTTTATAAAAACAATAATGGTGTATATGTATGTGTTTGAACATGGACTATAAAAGATACCAGGCTGTTAATAGCGGTTACACTAGGGAGGAGGAGATATTTTCAGTTGCTGCTTTTTCTTTCTTGCTTCATTTTTTTTCTTTACCACAAGCATGTATTACATTTGTAATTTAAAACAAAAAAAGAAGAACCGCCGCCCCCTCCTTCCCTTCCACTCTTCTGAAGCCATCAGGCCAAAGGCCAAGGTCACCCACCACAAGCCTTGATCAGGCTTGGAATAAAGCTGGCCCAAGGCACTAAGGATTAACCAGCAGTCTCTCATCAGCTTTCACACAAATGCTGTTAAACTAGGGCTCCATGAAGAAGGCAGACTTTGAAATAAGACAGAGCTGGGTTCGAATCCTAGCTCTGCCTGCTGGAATGGCTAACTTCCCTGAGCCTCAGTTTCTTCACCTGTAAAATGGGGATAATAGTACCTATTAAGTGTCATGTACTGTGCTGAGTGATATTAAACTAATTTTAATTTTTTGGACATTTCAGAAGCAGCAAAGGCTGCTGAGGAGGCATCACAGAGCTGAGAGGATACAGACTAAGCAGGAAGAGCTCTGGGGAATCATCCTATTCCTGAACACTTGTAACAATACTAAAGTAAGTGACAGAGAGAACGGCCTAGGAACAGCAAATTTCATGTGACAAAGGGGGCTAGTGCCCAGCGTGTCTGCAGGAGGAGGGAGGGGCTGGAAGGGGGATTACAAAAGGCTCCAGAAAGGAAAACATCTTGCTTCCCTGCCTCTGTACCTTTTTCATGCTGTTACCTCTTCCTGGAATGCTCTTCCCCTGACTTTCACACAACGGACTGCTTCTCATCCTTCCAGCTCTACTCAAAGATCTCCTTCCTCCCCACAGAGAGTTCCTCTAATCTCACCTGCACCTGAATCACTCTGTCCACAGCATACTCCTCCAGCCAGTGGTTTCTGCTTATGTGTTTGATGGCTTTTGTTTCTGTGTTTATTGTTCTTTGCTAGGCTCAGAGCTTCTTGATGGTCAAGATCGTCTGTCTTGCTCATCTCTAGGTCCTGGCTCCCAGTATGGGGCCTGACACACAGTGGGTGCTCACCAAATAGAAAGTGCACACAACTCATAGATTCAAGGCACATGGCACTTGTCTCAAGGCAAAAGAGAGGTGCATTTTGCACTGTGATACAAAGATGGATGAAAATTTCAGATATACCAAAGATTTAGAAACACATACACACATAAAGCTGTAAGCATGCAAAAACAAACTCCATGAATAGTTATATAAGCTTAGGATGAGAAAGAACTTTCTAGGCTCAAATTTGTGTGGACAAGGATATTTATTGCATCGTTATTTATAAGAAGATGAAAATGACAATGAAGTCCATTGATAGAGGATTGCATAAATAAATCACAGCTGTCCACAGAATGGAATGCTATGCAGCCATGAAAATGATGGGCATTTGTTGATGTTGAAAGAAGCCATGTTGCTTGTTAAATGTTAAACTTGTTCATCAGAAACAAGAGATAAGTGAAAGGTATAATTGATTGTCACAGAGAAAACACAAAGGTAAAAATCCTTCAAGTACCATTTATTTATTCATTCACTTATTTATTCATTCACTTATTTATTCACTCAAAAAACTTTCTATTTGTTACCTCTGCCTCCACGCTACTTCACATAGGTCATAATTCCAGAAGGTGGAGCAATGTGTGAACAGAACAATGCCCCTGTCCTCACAGGAAGCCCAGCTCACACGCAGAGGTGAGTAACTATGATATAATTGAGACAGTGCTCACGCCTAAGTGTCTCAGGGTGGTCACCTGGGCGAGGGCTTCATGAAAAAGGTGAGGTTTGGAGAAGGGGCAGAGTTTGAGTACACAGAGAAGGAACGAGGCATTTTAAAAGGCAGAAGCTGGGTGATACCAGACAAGCACAGAAAGCCCCTGCGTTCTTCATCAAACGCTTACTGAACCCCACCATCTGTAGGAGAGAGAGTTTATAGGAGCTAAGCCGAGGCCCAGATTCTGGACTGGATTCTGCCAAAAGCACTGGGAGGAGGCATTTGGAGTTGTGATCGTGTCATCCACAGGTGTGCAGGTGAGAAAGCATCCTCCCAACCCTGACTTATACATCCCGAGAGCACCAGCCCCACAGAGAAGGCAGGGCTGGGGCAGGTGCACCTGCCTGGCAGGTTGGGTAACTGAGGCTTAGCAAGGCAAATCCCAGGGTGTGAGACCGGATTCCAGGTGCAGTGCTCTTGGCGTTGCAATAAATCTTCAGCTGGAGGTATTTAATGGGGGTTAGAGGAGGGGGGTCCCATCTCTATGGCCCCTCTGCTCAGCTCCTTCTGGGGTGGAGACAAGAAGGGCCTCTGCACCATGAAGAAACTCAGCATTTTTGTAGTTCTTTTTTAATTTTTCAGATTCTGAGGCAACGTGATGCTTATGGTTCAAAACAAAGAGAGATGACTCAGCTTCCTGTGGAGGAGCTGCAGCCTTTTGGAAATGATCTTTCAGTTTTAATGCTTCTCTCTTCTTATCCACGGAGGCAGCTTGTCCAGTTTGCTCATTTTCTTCTTTTCTTTTTTATCTATCTATTTATTTAATTAATTTATTTATTTATTGAGACAGGGTCTCCCTCTATTGCCCAGGCTGCAGTGCAGTGGCGTGATCATAACTCATTGCAGCCTTGAATTCCTGGGCTCAAGAGATCCTCCTGCTTCGGCCTCCCAAGTAGCTGGGACTACAGGCATGTGCCACCATACCCTGCTAATTTTTGTATTTTTTCTTTTTTTGTAAAAATAGGGTCTCACTGTGTTGCCCAGGCTGGTCTCTAACTCCTATCCTAAAGCAATCCTCCCGTCGTGGCCTCCCAAAGTGCTGGGATGACAGGCATGAGTCATGTTACTTGTTTCCTTGTTGTTCAGCTGTTCCCAGGGTGAGGGGCAGGGACAATGACTGGGTTCTGTGGCCAGAATGCCTGGGTTTGAATCCTGGCTGTACCCTTAGATCCTGGCCAAACTTAGATCCTCTCTGAGCCTTTGTTTACTAATGTTAAGATGAGAATAACAGTTCCCTCCTGGTGGGGTTTTTGTGCAAAGCAGCTGTCATCGATGGAAAGTGCCTGGTCTGGTCCATAACCACCACTGTTAATAGCCAACAGCCGCCATGCTGAGGTTCTACTGTGCTTTGATGATCTCATTTAATCCTCACACCTGCACAAAAGAAGTTCCCATTTTACAGATGAGGAAGCTGAGGCTCACAGCAATGAGTTGACTTCCATCTTCTTATTCATGAGGGTCAGTGCACACAGCCCAGGCAAACTCACAATTGAATCATTATAAGCTTTGTCCTTTGATTTTCACCACAGTAGCAACCAAGCCCATCTCAGCCCCTTGCTGTCTTTATTCACAAAATGGGGACAAACATTCTGAGATTGCTGAGATGTCCCAGCCAAGGTTTACCAAAAACAACTCTGTGAAGGACTCAGGAACCTTCCATCATATCACATCATTCCTTCCTCTGGGGCAAGGAGGAACCCACAGAGAGCTGAGCTCTTCCTGCGCGACATCCCAAGGAGAGGCCAGAAGCGAGTCAGGAAACCCCTTCAAGTCAATAGAAAACACCAAAGCTGAGAGAGGGTGTGAGCTTACGCAAATAAAAAGAACAAGGCTTTAGGCCAGGTACAGTGGCTCGTGCCTGTAATCCCAACAATTTGGGAGGCCGAGGTGGGTGGATCACATGATGTCAGGAGTTCGAGACCAGCCTGGCTAACATGGTGAAACCCCGTCTCTACTAAAAATACAAAAATTAGCCAGGTGTGGTGGCACGTGCCTGTAATCCCAGCTACTGAGGAGGCTGAGGCAGGAGCATCGCTTGATCCTGGGAGGCAGACGTTGCAGTGAGCCAAGATGGCACCGTCGCACTCCAGCCGGGCAACAAGAGCGAAATTCCATCTCAAAAAAAAAAAAGAAAAAGCACAGGGCTTTAAAATCACCTATTATCCAAATGGCGACCCTGCACCATGATATTAACACTGGGACTCTCAAACCTTTGTCCTAGAACCAACTTTTTTTCTTAAATGCAGTGCAGGTGAGCATAAGGTAACCTACAACGGCCCAAACCCAAGCTTCCACGCCCCCTTCCCTCACATCACCCTGAAGCATACGCTGACAGAGCAACCTTAATAGTAACTGACTAATTTTAAACCCTGTGATTACCAGGGTTGATTTCCACGGAACCTTCCTTTCCCAGCACCGAGAACCTCTCATGAGCGGTAATTGCCAAGTTCAATTTTAGCTCTGTCATACCCAACCATCAGTGCTAACTAAGGCGGCTGCTTCATCACCAGGTAAGCTGGTAATGAAGTCGGCTTCACAGCTGCATTTCACAATATTGTGATGCCCCCGTCAGCACCTGCTAAGTGCTGAGAAGCTGCAAGCTTCCATTAAACAAATCTCACCCAAGGGAAGTGACTAAAGCCGCTTTGCGCTTCTAAGGTGCCCTGTCTACATCCTCAGGCCCACTGGGGTTTTGTGTTTGCTTAATCCCATGTGCCTCCTCTCTGCAAAGCACTGACCACCAACGTGCCACACCACACCCCTAGGGTGCCCTGATCGCTGCCTCATGCTCTGCAGTCACCTCTCATTCCCGCTCCATCCCTGCGACTCTGGCTCAGCCTCTCACCCTTCTGGCCTGGATCCCCATAGCAGCCTCTTTTTAGCTCACCCTCCCCCATTTATTCTCCAGGCCAATCAGTAGAGCTTTCTTAGGGGAAAAAAAAAAAAAAAAAAAGTTGCCAGGTGCGACTGCTCACACCTGTAATCCCAGCAATTTGAGAGGCCGAGATGGGAGGATTGCTTGAGGTCAGGAATTCAAGACCAGCCTAGGCAACATATCAAGACCCATCTCTGAAAAACAGACCAAAAAGAAAAAAAAAAAAAACTATCTGGGCATGGTGGCGCATGCCTGTAATCCCAGCTTCTCAGAAGCCTCATGCAGTAGGATCACTTGAGCCCAGGAGTTCAAGGCTGCAGTGAACTATAATCACGCCACTACACTTCAGTCTGGGTGACAGAGCAGGACACCATCTCTTCACAAAAAAAGTGACGTCCCACCATTTAAAATCCTTCAACGGCCCCCACTGCCCTCAAGGTAGAAAGTCTTTACATTGTGCTTTACATTATGTTTCCTTTCCTTCCTTCCTTCCTTCCTTCCTCCCTCCCTCCCTTCCTTCCCTCCCTCCCTCCCTCCCTCCTTCCTTCCCTCCCTCCCTCCCTCCTTCCTTCCCTCCCTCCCTCCCTCCTTCCTTCCCTCCCTCCCTCCTTCCCTCCTTCCTTCCTTTTTTTGAGACAGAGTCTCGCTCTGTCGCCCAGGCTGGAGTGCAGTGGCGCCATCTCCGCTCACTGCAAGCTCCGCCTCCCGGGTTCGCACCATTCTCCTGCTTCAGTTTTCTTTTAAGGTTATTGATTGAGCTCTGCACCAAGCTCCTAGATGCAAGGCCCCATCCCTCAGTCACACTGTCCCAGGGACTTGTCTGCAGTACCGCAAGCCCCATACACCCCTGCACTGCACCATCCAGGTGAACAAGTCCTACGACTTCATTTTCCTTAAGGAAAAATGTCTCATACAGCGCATGACTCCCTGCCCCTTAACTATAGAAGGAAACCTCTGCAGCATATCTGAGCATATCCCTGTGGTCACTCAGTAGCAGCACCGACTGAATCACATAAGCACCCCATAAGACACTCTTGGGGTGTTTAGTAAGCATCTACTC